ACACACAACAGAGCACACAGCACACACACCACACAACACACACAGTACACAACACACACAGCACACAGCACACACACAACAGAGCACACAGCACACACACCACACAACACAGAGCACACAGCACACACACCACACAACACACAGAGCACACAACACACACCACACAACACAGAGTACACAACACACAACAGAACACACAGCACACACACACACACAACACACAGAGCACACAGCACACACACCACACACCACACACCACACTCCAGAGCACACAGCACACACACCACACACCACACACCACACTCCAGAGCACACACTTTTCACCTCTAAATGAACAGGTTTTCTCTAAAATCTCAGGCTGAGGAATCGTTTCTGTGTCCTCCTGAGGTGGGTCCTCAGCCTGAGGTGGGCGGTGCCGTCCCCACTCCCTCCCCAGCTGGGCTCCTGGGTGGGCTTCGCCATCTGGGTGGCGGCTGGTCCCCGGGAGCTGCCAAATTGCTTGTCATGAACTCTCAAACCAAACCTGTAATTGTTTCTCCCTCTTTTTCCATAAATCACACGGAAAGGCACTGAAGGTTGTGTTAGGCCTTTGTCTGCCCCACACTCACCTTCATTATATGAAGTGGTAGCACACTCACAAAACACACGTGTGCACATGCATGCACATACCATGGCTCACACGTGTGCGCGCACACGCAAACACCACAGCTCACACGTGCACACACACACGCAAACACCATGGCTCACATGTGTGCGTGCACACAGACCACGGCTCACCTGCACACGCACACACCACGGCTCACACGTGCACGCACACACGCAAACACCACAGCTCACACGTGCACGCACACACGCAAACACCATGGCTCACACGTGCACGCACACACGCAAACACCATGGCTCACATGTGTGCGTGCACACAGACCACGGCTCACATGCACACGCACACACCACGGCTCACACACACCACGGCTCTCACACACACACACACACCATGGCTCACACGTTCACACACACACACCACGGCTCACACACACGCGCACACACTCCCGCGGAGGCGCGTCGCGGGAGCTTTCTCAGTGGGCGGCTGGGTTACTTGCTATTCCACGGTTTCCAGGTGGCGGTTTCCACTGTGCTCCCGGCGCCCATGGCTATGGCCCCGCTGAGGGGCAGGGTCCAGTCTCTGACTGCAGTTGGGGGTGTCCCCAGGCTCCAGACCTCGGGCGCCTCTCCACTCTGGAGGGCCACATGGGGCGTGTGTTCAGGCAGGCGTGGGAGCCTCTTGGTCAGAAACAAAGCAGGGCCCCTGGCCGGGGCCTCCCAGGGCTGACTTGAGGATGGATGTGCAGACGGCACTCACCAGAGCTCAGATGCCATCGAGGGAAACGTGGCACTGCCTTGTGTGCTGCTGAGGAAGAAGACAGATGGTGAATGACAGCTCCAAGGGTGTCATGTGGGGACGTGCGCACCTTCCAGCTGCTGAGAGAGGCCGAGGACGCCGTGCTACTAGGCCT